TCTCTCTCTCTCTCTCTCTCTCTCTCTCTCTCTCTCTCTCTCTCTCTCTCTCTCTCTCTCTCTCTCTATCTATCTATCTATCTATCTATCTCAACCTACCTACCTCTTGTGTGCGTGCATACGTACCGTTCTCTCTCTTTCTACCTGTCACTTCCACCTCACTCCAACCAGCAACTCCTTCCCTCCCTTCTCTCATCTACAACGACACAAATTTGTCACACAAATTGGAATTAAACGAAAAGAGCACTCTATTCGCACATCCCCCAGCCCTTTTCTCCCTCCAACAGCCTGAGGGAAAGCAGGATATTCCAATCTTCAATCTTGTTGTTCAATTAGCCCACATCCAGAGTGCTTGCGGTATGTAGCGCATAGCTGTCTGTTCATTTGAGGACCACGGAGGAGAGAGGGAGGCTGCCGTGCCCGGTCATCCCGTGCATGTACCCAAATGACAGTCAGTCGTGCCTGCAAACACAATACGGCAGCAGAGGAACCGTCACTGTTGTTCAGTGAAAATTCCCAATTGGCAAGGTTGGGACACAAACAGTCAAGCCCATGCGCAGTCCCATCCAGTCCCAACGCAATAGATATTTCAACAAATAAAGGGACAATTGCATCCGTTCCCCACTTAAAGATGGGAATACCTGCTATACGCAGTCCCGGTGCCCAAGTTGCATCTATACCCGGATCCCGTTCGACTTTGCATAGCACCCAACTTTTCCCCTGTGCGAATTTGACGGCATACCCAGCCCCACAGACCCTCAGTTCCGAACAACGAAATTATGCCCATGCCCAGGAACGGGCTGGCAAAATTGCGGGTGTACCCACGCCCAGGGGCGGCCCTTGGATGGCCGGAACAAAACATTATGCTCATGCCCACCACGTGGACCGTTGTGGACCAATGGCTGCTGGGTATGAGCATAATTTCATCCATCCGGCACTCTAGGGTATATAAATAATTTGCCCGGTCCACCTTAGTCCCAGGTATACCCATAATTTTGCCTGCGTATATTCATAATTCGTGCATTCTGGGCCTTATAACAGTATAACTGCAATTTTGCGATATCAACGTGGGTCCACCTTAGTCCTGGGCATGCAAATAATTGCCACCAGCCGTTTTCTGGGTATAGGTGCAAGTTGGTACTGGGACTGGATATATCCGCAATTCCCATCCATAAGTGGGGCACAGATGCAAATAAATAATTTAATAAAGTTTATGTCTTTGACTTTTGACGGTTAAATTTTATGTACGCAGCGAAGGTTAACATGCCCGAGGACCTGAAACTTTTCTCTTTTTTGAAGCTTTTTCCCCTTTTCTTCTGATCCCCCTGAAGTGAAAAACAATGAGATAAGGAAAGAGATCAAAACCAACGTAATAAATGAATAATCACAGCACCAAATATTAGCTTGGAACTACACCATGTGATTACAAGTTAACAAAAGATTGTGCAAACAATCGAATGATCGTCATCAACTGACGCAAGAACATGAGAGCCAGGCTGATATAGTGGTGCAAAACTGCATGGAGCACATTTTGGGAAGAAGATTAAAAAAGGAAAAACAGAACAAGACAAAAAGAAAAGGAATATATATATGTACAGGGTTATTGTGAGTTCTCTATGATGTAAGCTACACGCCTATAAATTTTGAAGCCATTCTGCTAATCCAAAAAAACAATAAAAATCATCAAAGATGGGGGTGTCAAAATGTGCTCGCCCACTCGCTATTTTGTTTTTTTTCACTTTTAACTTTTTGTTTTCACTTTATTTCGGGGTCTAAAAGATTTTATTATTTTTTGAAAACTTTTTAACGAGTTATTGATTATGCAAACTACATATCTGTAAATTTTCAGGGCATTTGTCAATGGCAAAAAATAATTACAAATCGGCAAAGATGGCGGTGTCGAAAAGGTGCTGCCACACTCACTCATTTTAATTCTCTTTTTATTTTTTCTTATTTTTATCATAGTGTTTATTTTCTGTATTATTTTCTGAAAACTTTTTTTTTTTTTTTTTTTTTTCCGCGTTCGGCCCGAACGGCCGAACGCCTTCCGAAGGGGTCGTGTACGTTCGGGCGTTCGGGTTCGGGCGTTCGGCCGGCAACAGGGTTATATATATATATCGTCACAAATAGAACTGCATATATATATATAGGGTGTTCGGCCCGTCCCAAACACCGACAACAGGGTTATATATATCATCACAAACAGAACTGCCCGGTAAACCGTAGGCAGACAGAGAGAAGAGGACAACAAACGAGGGGCTGTGACAAACTGTTTCGTCAGAGTTTCACCGACTCATCAGGAGGCTGTATATATATAACCCTGTTGTCGGCGTTCGGGACGGGCCGAACGCCCGAACGCCCGAACCCGAACGCCCAAACGTACGGGACCCCGAACGTACGGTACCCCTTCGGAAGGCGTTCGGCCGTTC